AAGTTAAGAAGAGTAGGATTACAAAATATATGTACACCGTTATTTCTGGAAGAATCCTTACCTTGGCCATCAACACACTAAATAAAAATGTTACAATTCAAGTTAAGAAGAGTAGGATTACAAAATATATGTACACCGTTACCTCTGGAAGAATCCTTATCTTGGCCATCAACACATTAAATAAAAATGTAACAATTCAAGTTAAGAAGAGTAGGATTACAAAATATATGTACACCGTTACCTCTGGAAGAATCCTTATCTTGGCCATCAACACACTAAATAAAAATGTTACAATTCAAGTTAAGAAGAGTAATATTACAATATATATGCACACTAATTTTCAATATTGCAAAAATTTCTGCTTCTCCCAATGCACAATTTGTTTCCAAGAAAGAAAGAAAGGAAAACGTACTCACCCATCAATCTGTCGCATCGTTTCTATAATTTGGAATCGCTGTCGACCTTCTGCTTTGAGTCTCAAAGTAGACAGTCCAACATTTTCATCAGCTTCTTCTCTGTAAGATCTTATCTCGGCTGTAGTACCAACACACACTACACCTGGTAAAGGGGCTTGATATCTGATTGAACCAGACTATGTTATCTTTCATAAGACACTTTACATAACTTCTAAAGTAAAAAAAAAGTTTTATATTGCTTACCATTTCCAACAGAAAGCATGTTAGTTGAGTGTGTGTGAAACAACTGGTTTCAGTTCTTTGGTCATTAGATTACCAAAAAGTAAAACAAAAATGACATTATTTTGTTGATAACATCTAAATAAAGAAGTCATAACTACCCTACACATGCTAATATTTTAATCCTGTTTGTAGACCTACAGTAATTGAAAAATCGTTTTTCACCATTATATATTTCAACTCAAACTTGGCAACCTCCTTTACAAGTTTTGTTTTAGTTACATAAAAAATAATCCACAGAAGCAGAGAACACTGTCATTTTTATGATGAAGTCACTAAATATCAGAAGAAGTTTCTTCTACTGACTTTTCATAGTTCCAAAGGTTAATTCACATAATTTTTTAGCAAAGACTATTAACGAAAAAGAGTGTATATTAAAGAAAATAATCAATACTCTTTATACTGGTGTTTTGTTTAGTTTTATATATATATAGATATCTTACACATCCACACATTACTGAAGGTGGGTATTTATCCAGGTTTTAAATAATACACGAGAACCCATTTTTGGTGGTTATGAAAGATACTTCTTTACCAGTAATTCTGGTTAATTTAAAAACTCTAAATATAGTTCCAAATAACTAAAAGTTAAAACAAATTGCAAAAAGGATTAAAAATGAAAATTCTACACAGACTTTATCAATTAGCAACAATTTTATTGCATTCAAAAAGATACAGTTTTTTGGAATACTAGCAAGGTTTTTACAAAATGAAATCATTGCTGAATGATTCTTCTCAAGCTCAACATACTTAAAATAGAAGTTAATCATGATACATACAATAATGTCTTAATAATGGAGACTGGAAAAAGTTTCGACATTGTGTGTAACATGATCCTCAGCTAATTCTTATCCACTCTTAATAATCCCTCACTAGATTCAAAATAATTAGTTTCTACATTCTGTGTAACATAATCATGAGTTAAGTCTTACTGTATTTACCAGTGCATAGAACAAACCTGGATTTTTTGATCAAATTAAGTGTATTTCTTTGAGGTTTGGTGTATGGGATGACCTCTATTGTCAAGGAAGTCTAGGTTGTTACTTTTGCAAAAAAATTTCTTAAAAGTTATATTTAAACTGTGCTAACCTGCACTCTAGGGTAATCAGTATGACCACAAGTGTGTTTTTTTATGCTCTTCAAATGCTACAGACAGCTCAGTGCAGCATAACTTAAGTCACAAACATGTAATATACAACTTTAGAAAATTTTCATCACAGTCGAATTTTTCTATTACAAAAAAAAATACTAAACCTTAATATATATTGATCTACTATAAAAACATGTTTACAAAATTAGTGTACATTACAGAAATTTTTTGATATAATATTAGTAATATCTTAGTACGACAGATGAGATCAATACATTTCAAATAAAAAATGTCTTGATTAATAGTAACTAGCATGCGAGATAAATCACTTCCAGCTATGAAGAATTGAGACAAATGTTACAATTACAAATATGTTATTGTAACGTAGTAGTAGGTGGCACGATGTCAACGCACTTACTCAAAAACCAAACAAAAGTAAAAGGAACAATGCTGTTTTGGTTAAATACGCTATTAACAAGAGAGTTCTTACTGGAACTCTATCTTTGATTCTATGTGTAAGACAACAGTAAAATCAGGCATTGTTTTAAGAATAAAAATATCTTCCACTCCTAATAATTCCTCACTGGATTTAAAAACTCTTCATTCCCTGGTGCTGATTGAAAACAAATGAAACAATGTAGATTAAAAACACTAACCTAGAATTGATTATACCAAGTGTATGATCTTTTTCTATGATTCGTTTCACCATGCTAATAACTGAGGGTTCAAACAGCTGTAGAGGAATTGTTTGACCTGGTACTAGTACGATTCCTGGAAGTGGGAGAAGTGGGAGATTCTGACAACTGTTATCATCTAGCAATGTTCTTCCACTCAATTCTTCCAAATCATTACCCAAATACTGGTAAAGAATGCAAATTTAATGCATATACTTTGCAAAAAATTACAAGTTTAAATTTCAATATTATTTAAATACAAATATCATAAGACACAATTTAGACAGACTGCTTATTTAAAACCAAACAAAACTACTTAGTTCCAGAAGAAGGGAATGAAAATATTCACATATACTTATTGCAAAAGTCAAAATACCATGATGCTAACAACTGTATATACTAAATTAAAGACAACTAGACTAATCTTTTAAAACAACAAGATCTATCTGATGTTTCTTACTGTGTGCTGTGATGGAAGGGAGATGTCATAGGAAACGTCTGGGTTTTTACCCTTTTTCTCATCATTTTTATTCACTACGCCATCTGCAGAAAGAAAAGATTACTATCCTTTGATCTGATTACAGAAACAACTACGGAGAACAAGAAAGCCTATTTCAGCTATTTTTATTAGGATACCTTTAACTACGTCTTAAGAGAATTATAAATTTTAATGTTATTCTTCATCCATTAGACAAAAACTTTTTCTACATCATTTGTTCTGCTGCTAGAAAAACACTGGGTAGATTCCTAGACAACCAGGCAAGTTCCTGAAAATTGTGAAATGCATAAGCCTAGTACATACACACAAACATCTAAAAATGCACAGTTCTAAACCTCAAACCAAAACTATATACACATCCCTTTAGTTCACAAACCCTCAATCACACACAGTAACAAGCATATTTAAATTAATGCAATGAGATCAGTACAGTATGACTGCAAGCTCTAGGGATAATATATATCATTATAAAATATGTTGTTGTAAGCTACATTTTCAATGTTTTAACTTAGATTTTTTCTAGAGGGAGCTCATCACTACAATGACATAAAGATCTAGAGTTCATAAAAGTTAAGAACCCAGAAGTGGACTATACAGAAATACGAGTACAACATAAATATGAGTAATCACTAATTAATTGAGATAGTTCAGTGTCAGAAAGTTATTCAGTGTTAGTAGTGAGAGATATTCCATCTACTCTGCTAATCAGTTACTCAGTCTCACAGTTTATACTGAAACACTGTACTTGAAGTTAGGAATATATTTAGTTGCAGAGTTTATGTTGAAAATTTATTTATGAAATTAGGCCCACAAGCGAACATGGCTGTAAAAATGTTACTGAAGAAATTAATTAATTAGTTGTCATTACATGGGTTGGAATTTGAATTATTTTTACCAAATAATCCAAAAGAACCTTACTAATGATACAACATGTTACAACAATATATATATATATATATATATGTTAAACATCATTTTAGGTTATGGCAGCATTAATCTAAACTATGATTTTTTTTATCAGTTTTTATATTGGGTGATATACCTGTAGTTCTATAAAACCCTAATGACTAAACATTAAAAATCCTAAAATACATAATCATGTATATATATATATGTGTGTGTGTGTGTGTGTGAAGTGTTTATATGCAAAATGTGATCAGTGCCTTTCCCGACAAAACTGACCAGCATATGATATTGTATTGCTGAATATGCATTATTTTAACTCGAAAAGCCTATGAATATAAAACGTTTTTATCCAAAAATAAAGTAAATTTTGTTCAATTTGGAGTAAGTAATAAAGTAAGATATTTTTAGGTTTTCATATAATAATTTATGTTTTTTATTCAACAAATAACTCACATTCACAGCATTTTTTGTGAAAGTTTCAGAAAGGAATACTGAATTTCCCTAAATGGCAAAATATGTTGTGTTTTGCATTTGAGCTTATTGTAAAAGAATCAACCTAGCAACAAAAAATGAACCATGTTTTGTGTTTCACATCATATAAATTAAACACTTTTTAAAAACTAGCTTTAAAAACACTGCATAAAATACCTTTGTATAGTGTCTCTTCCACGACATTTGCACTACCAAGTACAAGAACACATTCAGCAACATTCTATAGAGAATACAAGCAGAAATATCAACATAACTATCCACTGGAAATCCCCCATAACAATCAGATCCATGTTAGTACAAACACAAAATCTGTTGGAAATCATATAGAACAATCAGATCTATGCTAGTACAAACACAAAATCTGTTGGAAATCATATAGAACAATCAGATTCATGCTAGTACAAACACAAAATCTGTTGGAAATCCCCAATAACAATCAGATTCATACTAGTACAAACACAAAATCTGGTTGGAAATCCCCCATAACAATGAGATCTATGCTAGTACAAACACAAAATCTGTTGGAAATCCCCCATAGCAATCAGATCCATGCTAGTACAAACACAAAATCTGTTGGAAATCATATAGAACAATCAGATCTATGCTAGTACAAACACAAAATCTGTTGGAAATCCCCAATAACAATCAGATTCATACTAGTACAAACACAAAATCTGTTGGAAATCCCCCATAGCAATCAGATCCATGCTAGTAAAAACACAAAATCTGTTGGAAATCATATAGAACAATCAGATCTATGCTAGTACAAACACAAAATCTGTTGGAAATCCCC